ACGTACGTGCACACACACGTACGGGCACACACACGTACGTGCACACACACGTACGGGCACGCGCACGCGCGCCCACACGCACATGGACACATGGACACACGCTCACAAGAACACACGGCGCGCACACTCACGGACACATACACGGACACACGCACATAGACACACGCAGACACACGCGCAGACACACACGCACACGGACAAACGCACGTACATACAGACACAGGCACACACGGACGCACGCACACACACACACACAAAAGACAAAGATCCCCCGTGTAGCCTTAACAGACTGTAGGGGCAAGTGCTGTTAGCGAGCACCTATGAAAGCCGGAACGGTACACGAGGGGGTGGGTGGCCAGCACCACGCCCTACCGCCTTTGTCTTTCCAGTGGCGATGTTTACACATCGCACCAGGTCCTCATTTGAGGCTGAGTCGACCTCGGGGAGGCCCAGGGCCAGTTCAGATAATCGTTTTGAGCGGGAATCCAACCCGGATCGCTACACTACCGCTCCCCACACGCACACACACACACTCGCACACACGCACACACACGGTCACACACACACACACGGTCACACACACACAACAACAACAACCGCCATTCGCCACTATGTGGCGGTGACGTCACCACGACGCTTGTGCCAGGCCATGTGCACCTTGAGGCCACGTGAAGTGTCGAACGCCCGTTGGAAGGAGGTCACGGGGAAGACCCAGATGCCACGGGTCGACTGACTGAGATGACTGGCTGATGCACCACTGTGCCAACCTGCTGTGCTTTAGCCACCCGGCGCTCCGCTCGTTGTTGTGAGCGTCGCTCCTCCGCCCTCCGTTGTTGTTGGAGGGCGGCTGCCTCCAACTGCCCAGTAGCGTCCTTCACGAGCCTCCTCCACAGAGGCCGATCTTGACATCGCTGGTACCAGTCATCGACAAGTCCACTCAGCTACACGTCTTCCTGTACCACATCACTCCATCTCTTCTCTAACCCGTGCCGCGCCCGTTTAGCCCCCTCGATCCGGCCGAACAAAAGCTGTTTCGGCATGCGGTGGCTGGGCATGCGGGACCATTACCCAGACAACGCAGCCTTGCCTGCCGGAGGAGCTCACCGATGGACCTTGCCCAGATCTTTCAAGGATTTGTGAGCTCCTCACACAATCCAGCCTGGTTAAACCCAGGATGGATCGTAGGCAGGCCAGCCTAAATGTTTCTAACCGGCGAAGATGTTCCATTAGGGGGGTCCACGTTTCTCAAGCGTAGAGAAGGGAGGGAATGACCGTGGCCGAGAAGACCTGAAGCTTAGTGCGGAGCGACAGACTAGGTAGCTTCCACACAGCGTTACGCAACTGATGAAAAGATATTGCCGCTCGACTGATTCGGAGTGAGACCTCTGCTGTTAAACTGGAGCCGGTCATAAGCACACAGCCCAGGTATCGGAAACTCTCCACTCTCTCCACAACTGCCCCATCACCGATTGGGAGTTGTGGGGGTGGAGTGTCCGATGGTACAAGATACCCAGGCAGGTGCTTAGTTTTGGTGGGACCTTTCCCGGAACACTGAGGAGTGAGATGCCCCTGTGCGGTCCCCCTTCTTAAAGAGGGGGACCGCCAGGGCATCCTTCCAATCCTGCGGAACCCGTCCAGTGATCCAAACTGTTGTTATGATGTCATATAGGGCAGTCTGTGCACAAACGCTGCCCTCCCTCAGAATTTTGCTTGGGGAGATCATCTCTGCCCAGTGCCTTTCCTGGTCTCAGACTCCGGATCGCCTTCAGTACTTCCTCAACAGATGGCACCTCAGCCAGCCACTCACAGGGGGTGACTTCTTCCAATATTTGAGGCAACGCAGCCTCAGCAGGGTCATCCCCACTTTGTGCCACGATGTTTTCCTGGCTGAGGGGTTTCCCCTCCCCCAGGACCTCACAGAAATGCTCAGCAAATCTGCAAACCTGTTCCTGGGGGTCGGAGATTGGAACACCGATTTTTCCCATAATGATGGTAATCGGTGTTGCGCTGCAGGTAACTTTTTTGATGGAGTTAAATAGAGATTTGTGATCGCGGGCCACTGAGGCAGACTCCATCTCCTCAGCAACCCGCGACCACCACCCATCCTTGCAGCACCTCACGACTCTCCGAACCTCCGAGCGAAGGCTGCGGTAAGCCTCCTCATTCTCTGACGTGGAATTCTGTAGCCGATGACAGTGGGCCTTTCTCTTTTTCTCACCTATCCTGGACACCTCCTCTGTCAGCCAGGGTCTCTGGGGAGGTCTGGACCGCCTACCCAAAGCAGCCATTGCAGCTGCATGAGTCACAGTCCTAAACCTCGCCCATTTACCCTCGACATCAGGAGGAGTGGAGGACGATGCCAACACCAGCCGCAAGCGATGATGAAATTCTCGCTTGCAACTTTCATCAGCTAACTGAGACCAGGCCACTTTAGGTTGGAATAGGGTCCTGGGTGTACACCCACCACCGGAGTGGAAGAATACAGGCGCATCTTACAGATGACTAGTCGATGGTAAGAGGGCAGATCAGCTCCACGGTAGGTCCTGGTGTCCAGGACATGGGCTTGCATCTGCTGGTCCATCACTATGTAGTCCAGCAGATGTTCTTGCTTGGACCCGGCATGTATCCATGATGTTTTGTGGATGCGCCGATTCCGGAACAGCGTGTTGGTAATTACACGCCCATGGGCCGCACAAAAATCTAGCAGCCTCCTACTGTTGTTATTGAGCTGATCTGGCCCATGTCCTCCAATCACTCCAAACCAGGTGCCAGCATCATTACCAACTCGGGCATTGAAGTCACCCAACAAGATGACTCTATCCGGAGGAGTCATTTTAGCCAGCAACGGTGACAGGAGGTCATAGAAGGGATCTGACTCATCGGCTTTGCCCACATCCCTCCACGGATGTTCGTCTTCGGTGGGGGCATAAGTATCCACGACCACCACCCCTCGCCTCCGGTTGATGGGAAGGCGAGCCCAAAGTAGCCTAGGGCTTACAGCTTCCCACACCTCACCGCCACGCTCCCATGCACCCTTCATTCTTTTGTTCAAAAGAAGAGCCACACCCTGTTGTTTGGCAGTATGCTGCCCCGAGTAGAGAACTGTCCACGCCTCATGGTAGCAGGAGCCAGAACCGGTCCACCGGACCTCCTGAATGCCACAGAGATCCACGCGGTACCGGTCCAGCTCCCGACAGAGGAGTGGCAGCCTCTCCTCCGCAGTGAGCGTTCGAACATTCCACGTGGCCACACTAAGTGGCTTTTCGTTGTTTTTGGAGGAGCCCCGAGGGTAGAGATTCAATCTTCTGGCTCCGCCAATAGAGGTTTGGCCAGGAGTCGTCATAGACGCCTGTCCCCCGGGGCCTCCGGCACAACCTTATTAGTTATATATATTTAAGTCGTGGTTTTGTGGTAATTTTTGAAGGTGGAGGGGTTACCAGCCCCTCGCACCCGTCCAGAGCCCCCGTTAAGCCACTGTGGTGGTCACAGACGCCATGAGGGGAGAGGCCAATCGGAATTGGCCCTCTCCCCACAGCATTGTCCACGACAGAGTTGCCCGTCCGGCACCGCGAGGAGGTAGGGGGTTGTTTTGCCAGACACACACACACACGGTCACACACACACGGTCACACACACACACGGTCACACACGGTCACACACATACCGCTATACTTGACGTAGAGTGACGTGCACACAGAGCTCGCCGCGTCACTGCCCTCTCGGCTACCGGGCGCTGTCGAGCGCTCTTCCACACATTACACAAACATCACAAGCCACCAATTCCAAAATCATCAGCATCGTCATCGTCATCATCAGTCAAATAATCATGATAATCATAATGCCTCTCCTACGACTGCTGCCATACGTACGCACGTAGCGATGGTGGTGGCGGTGGTGGTAGCGGTGGTGGCATTTCAAACGTAATTGACATTGCGTGTTTGTGTTGATATGAGAAGGCCAGCGAGCTCTGGGTGCACTCAAAAGAAATCGCGTGATGGGTGAAACGGAACGTGAGCTGGACTCGCACTCGCCAGCGTCCATCTCAGCGCGGTTGATAACCAGCAGCGGCATTTACTGAGCAGTTCGCGTTTCTCGCCCTCTCAAAGCCCCGCCGCCGCTATCTAGAAAAAACTAAATCTGGAAACAACAACAGCGACGAGATAATGTAATCTTGAATCTCGGTCCCTAACTTGTAGACACAGCGCACAGGGCGCTGTGCTCAGAACGGTGGCAGCTCGAAACGCAGCTGCGCAGTGTTCGCGCCTCGCTCCCGTAGGCACACAGAGAGAGAGATGTGTGTGTGTGTGCATCTACTGCACGTTGAACTTCTTTCGCACCGTACGTAGCCAACCCGTGCTAATCGGTGGTGCGGGGGGGTGGACATACAACGGACAGATGATAGAGAGACCGAGACACAGAGAGAGGGAACGACTCGGAGAACGACAGGAGGAGGAAATCGCAGACGAGCGAGAAGGCGGCAGCAGTAACCACGCGGTGAGTAGCCGCCGCTACCGACGATTGCCCTGAGCTCTGCGATCCTCGATCTATAAAGACATTTCCAGCCAAATGAGCACGTGCGAGTAAATCGGAGCACTCGGAGAAGAAAAGAAAAACTCCACGCGAGCGAGCGAGGGGGCAACATTCGATCCCACGCACATGGAACCGATGGAGACGAGTCTACACTTTGCCGTGCCGCTTTCTCCTGGCGAGCGAGGGTCCCGGCCCCGTCACCTCGACGTCCCGACGGGTAGGAAGGGAGTCTGTCAACAGCATCTGGGCGCGATCCACCAACCCCGCCGCTTCTGCCTCCGAACGCGGCTGCACTGCACATGCCCATGGACGGTGATGATCAGAAACTGAAAGTTTATTTCCACCGGAGGAATCCGATGAGTTGCAAATCTGTTTTTTCTTTTTGTCACCAAATGTCCAATATTGATCCCCTTTTCTGTGCGTCAATGATTCCCCTTTGCTGTCACCCCCCCCCCATCACTCCCTCGCAGGGCCATCACTCACGACAGTCGCCTCGTGGTGATGGCGATGTCCGGAGGCGAGGCGGGCACCTACCGAGCGCACATCCTCAACGAGCGCAATGGGGAGGTGCGCGCCGGGCCGGCCACCGTGGTCACCCTGGGCGGTAGGGGCCTCGCGCGCACGCCACGACCGCCTGTACAGCAACGGCACTCGCCTGTTCACCTGTACAGCAACGGCATTCTCTGTTCACCTGTACAGCAACGGCATTCTCTGTTCACCTGTACAACAACACACCTGTAGAGCAGAACACGTGTGTAACGGTACAGCAGCACACCTGTTCACCTGTACAACAGCACACCTGTTCACCTGTACAACAGCACACCTGTTCACCTGTTCACGCGGCATCCCGCGCGTGTACTCACGAAAGACGCTGGGACTAACCGCGGGAGAGGGAATAACTACAGAGAGGAGAGGGAGAGAGAGATGGAGAGAGAGATGGAGAGAGATGGAGAGAGATGTAGAGAGATGTAGAGAGAGAGATGTAGAGATAGATGTAGAGATAGATGGAAAGAAATGGAGAGAGATGGAGAGAGATGGAGAGATAGATGTAGAGATAGATGGAAAGAAATTGAGAGAGATGGAGAGAGATGGAGAGAGATGGAGAGAGAAATGGAGAGAGATGGAGGGAGGAGGAATAGAGGGAGGGGGATACTGTTGGTCCCCCCACCGCCCCCCCCCCCCCACAGATAGTGGAGGGTGGGGGAGGGAATCGTCGATGTGATTTAAAATCGGAAAGAACCCCGTTCTGGGACCTCCCTTGAAGCGGCGAGGCGCGCAGAGGAGAGGGAGGGGCGGGGGGCGGTCGAGGGGGCTTCCAGGAAGTCGGATTTATTTATTTATTTGCTCCCTCTCGCGCGCCTCTGTGAGGGAGCAGAGGAGGATGTCGGAGGTTGAGGGAGGAGGGTGAAGGAAGCGGATGGATGGAGGGCAGGGGATGAAAGAGGGAGGATGGATGGAGGAGGTAGTGGGGAGGATGGATGGAGGGAGGCGGTGTGGGGGGTCGGAGAGAGGGGGGGCGGAGGGAGAGGGGAGGAGGGGAGGAGGGAGTGGAGCGGAGGGAGGAGGGAGTGGGAAGGAGGGAGAGGGAAGGAGGGAGAGGGGAGGAGGGGAGGAGGGAGTGGAGCGGAGGGAGAGGGGAGGAGGGAGTGGAGCGGAGGGAGAGGGGAGGAGCGAGAGGGGAGGAGGGGAGGAGGGGAGGAGGGAGAGGGGAGGAGGGGAGAGGAGGGTGAGGGAGCAGGTAGGAGGGGAGAGGGGAGGAGGGAGGGTGGAGGAGGGAGAGGGGACGGGGGTGAAGGATAGAGGGGAGGGAGGTGAATCTGAACAGATGAGATCAGGAGCCTCGCCCGAGCAGTCCCGGGGTCGCGCTGAGAGTCCCCGCTGTGTGAGCGCACCGCGTGGACTCACATCCCCTACCGCGCCCTTCCCTCCGAACCAGTGCCGGATGAAGGTGGTGCGGGGCCTGTAGCATATGTTCTTATAAAAGGGGCCTAAAATCAAATTTAAAAAAAAAACACGTAAATATTCAAACACTTTTTTTTTTACTTGCAAAGTAAAGTAATTGTATTTTTTTCATTTGCTATACGGCCAGATAATACGACAAATCGCTAACCTTAAACACCCCGTCGTTCATAAAAGTTGAAGGCAGTATAGTACTATAGTGATAGAGCAAGTGCAGAATCCCTGAACCGGAATTGATCGCTTGAAATAATTTTACTCGGGGCCCTTGAAAGTGCGAGGCCCGTAGCTACTACAATATGTAGCTACTACATTATGTAGCTACTACAATATGTAGTAACTACAATATGTAGCTACTACATTATGTAGCTACTACAATATGTAGTAACTACAATATGTAGCTACTACATATGTAGCTACTACATATGTAGCTACTACATTATGTAGCTACTACATATGTAGCTACTACATATGTAGCTACTACAATATGTAGCTACTACATTATGTAGCTACTACACATGTAGCTACTACATTATGTAGCTACTACAATATGTAGCTACTACATTATGTAGCTACTACACATGTAGCTACTACAATATGTAGCTACTACATATGTAGCTACTACATATGTAGCTACTGCAATATGTAGCTACTACAATATGTCGCTACTACATATGCAGCTACTACACATGTAGCTACTGCAATATGTAGCTACTACAATATGTCGCTACTACATATGTAGCTACTACAATATGTAGCTACTACAATATGTCGCTACTTTTGCTACGAGTACAATCCGGCACGACTCAGATCCCCCCTCGCATCGCGATACAATTATCACGATTTAGTGTCACGACTCCATTCAAGTGGCTGCAAATGTGGGTGGGGGTGGTGTCACGTGAGTCAAATTACATAGAACATAAATATATCTTACACACGCGATTCCATCGGCGTACACTCCGTGATGGTGGCGAGTGGCGCTCATTCATCTCGTCGCAGCGAGGGTGGGGGGGGGAGACATGGGGGGGGGGTCCTTGTGCGGGGGGCGGCTTGCGGGGGCTTCAACAGGAGGAGGAGGGGAGTTGAGGAGGAGGGGGGTAGGAGGAGGAGGGGGGTTGAGGAGGAGGGGGGTAGGAGGAGGGGGGTAGGAGGAGGAGGGGGTAGGAGGAGGAGGGGGGTAGGAGGAGGGAGATAGGAGGAGGGGGGTAGGAGGAGGAGGGGGGTTGAGAAGGAGGGGGGTAGGAGGAGGAGTGGGGTAGGAGGAGGAGGGGGGTAGGAGGAGGGGGATAGGAGGAGGAGCGGGGTAGGAGGAGGAGGGGGGTAGGAGGAGGAGGGGGGTTGAGAAGGAGGGGGGTAGGAGGAGGAGGGGGGTAGGAGGAGGAGGGGGGTAGGAGGAGGAGGGGGGTAGGAGGAGGGGGGGGTAGGAGGAGGAGGGGGGTAGGAGGAGGAGGGGAGTGATCACCGCTCCCCAGTGCCATAGCAGTGCGCGTGGTGATGCACCGATGCTGCGAGCAGCTCATCCCGCCTCTCAACGCGCCATGAGTGCCAGTGAGTGTCACTCCAGCAGACAGACAGACAGAGAGAGGACGTGTCAGTGAGTGTCACTCCAGCAGACAGACAGACAGAGAGAGGACGTGTCAGTGAGTGTCACTCCAGCAGACAGAGAGAGAGGACGTGTCAGTGAGTGTCACTCCAGCAGACAGAGAGACAGACAGAGGTGTCAGTGAGTGTCACTCCAGCAGACAGAGAGAGAGGACGTGTCAGTGAGTGTCACTCCAGCAGACAGACAGACAGACAGAGAGACGACGTGTCAGTGAGTGTCACTCCAGCGGACAGACAGATTGAGGTGTCAGTGAGTGTCACTCCAGCAGACAGACAGACAGAGTGAGGATGTGTCAGTGAGTGTCACTCCAGCAGACAGACAGACAGACAGAGGTGTCAGTGAGTGTCACTCCAGCAGACAGAGAGAGAGGACGTGTCAGTGAGTGTCACTCCAGCAGACAGACAGACAGAGAGACGACGTGTCAGTGAGTGTCACTCCAGCGGACAGAGTGAGGTGTCAGTGAGTGTCACTCCAGCAGACAGAGAGACAGAGTGACGTGTCAGTGAGTGTCACTCCAGCAGACAGAGAGACAGAGAGAGGACGTGTCAGTGAGTGTCACTCCAGCAGACAGACAGACAGAGAGAGGACGTGTCAGTGAGTGTCACTCCAGCAGACAGACAGACAGAGGACGTGTCAGTGAGTGTCACTCCAGCAGACAGACAGACAGAGTGAGGATGTGTCAGTGAGTGTCACTCCAGCAGACAGACAGACAGAGAGAGGACGTGTCAGTGAGTGTCACTCCAGCGGACAGACAGAGAGAGAGAGAGGGTCCGTGTGCTGGCAATGTGGCGGGTTTAGAGATTCTCCGCGCACGCGGGGAATCTTGCAAAAGTGCCCGCGTCTTGCAGCGGGCTGCGGCTCTTAAGTTATTAGCCGCTGAAGTTTGCAATTTAGTGCGGATTTCCGAGGATTGCCACGGATTTGTACGGAGTGTGCGGCCCTTGGCGGAGTTTCTCAGCTACCTCCCCCCCAGCCCCTCCCCGCCTAAACCCCACTCCCCCCCAGCCCCCCTCGCCCCCCAACCTGATCCTCCTGCCTCCCTTCTGCCCCCCTATCCTCCCGTGAAATTAAATTAAATTCACTTCCCCACAACAAGGCCCTCGCTCATCTCCGGTGTTCGCATCGCTCCCCTCCATCACAGGGCAAAGGCAAAGGTCCCCCGTATAGCCTTCGCAGACCATTTTGTGGCAAGTGCTGCCGGCGAGTATCAACCTCATGTCTATAGACTGTCTCGTGTCTATAGACTGTCTCGTGTCTCCAGACTGTCTCGTGTCTATAGACTGTCTCGTGTCTATAGACTGCCTCGTGTCTATAGACTGCCTCGTGTCTCCAGACTGTCTCGTGTCTATAGACTGTCTCGTGTCTATAGTCTGTCTCGTGTCTCCAGACTGTCTCGTGTCTATAGACTGTCTCGTGTCTATAGACTGTCTCGTGTCTCCAGACTGTCTCGTGTCTAATAGACTGTCTCGTGTCTCCAGACTGTCTCGTGTCTATAGACTGTCTCGTGTCTATAGACTGTCTCGTGTCTATAGACTGCCTCGTGTCTCCAGACTGTCTCGTGTCTATAGACTGTCTCGTGTCTATAGTCTGTCTCGTGTCTATAGACTGTCTCGTGTCTATAGACTGTCTCGTGTCTCCAGACTGTCTCGTGTCTATAGACTGTCTCGTGTCTATAGACTGCCTCGTGTCTATAGACTGTCTCGTGTCTATAGACTGTCTCGTGTCTATAGACTGCCTCGTGTCTCCAGACTGTCTCGTGTCTATAGACTGTCTCGTGTCTATAGACTGTCTCGTGTCTATAGACTGTCTCGTGTCTCCAGACTGTCTCGTGTCTATAGACTGTCTCGTGTCTATAGACTGCCTCGTGTCTATAGACTGTCTCGTGTCTATAGACTGTCTCGTGTCTATAGACTGCCTCGTGTCTCCAGACTGTCTCGTGTCTATAGACTGTCTCGTGTCTATAGACTGTCTCGTGTCTATAGAACTGTCTCGTGTCTCCAGACTGTCTCGTGTCTATAGACTGTCTCGTGTCTATAGTCTGTCTC